GCCGCTACCTCCGGAGTGCTGGGATTAAAGGCTTGCGCCACCACCGCCTGGCTTCTTTTTTTTTTTGTTACAGCTTACATTTTTAGAGCTTTAGTCCATTATCATCACGGTGCAACAGGTAGTGAGTAGGCAGACATGGTGCTGGAAGAAGTAGCTGAGTGTGTTACATCTTTATGAGACCTTAAAGCCGGCCTCCACTGTAACACACTTCCTCCAACAAGACCAGACCTCCTAATAATGGAATAGATATCCAAGGGGAATAGACTCCCTTGGGGGGCCTTTTTCTTTCAAACCACCAGTCTTGCCAAGCCATAGCACTATTCACCAAATCCAGACCCTCACACTAGCTGCCGGATGTCCCTTCCAGCTCCACTCTGACAGGCTTCTGTTTAAAGAGGCACTTTATCTCCGTTTACTCTGAGAACCTGTCCTTTGTATCCCAGGTAGGACTCTATGGCTACCCTAGTACAGCCTCAAGACATTCCTAGAGAAAACATGTTTCTAATCTAGTTATCCAGCAGAGGGCGCCAGCCCAACGAGTTGCCTCAAAGGAGGGTCCTGAGTCTGTCAGCTCTCACTGAGGATTCCATGGCTTTAGGTGGCTGGCTTATTATCTCTGTTAGCCCACAGGATTTTAGGTGTCCCCTAAGCCAGACGGGAAAGCTTGGAGTCAGTCTTACGTCTAAAGCCGCTCTTGACTGGCTGCATGGTTTTGGCCTTTCTAAGAACCATTTACACACTTTGGTATGAGAGAGGATAATAGTGGTTTTTATTCCATAGGGTGACATTGTGTGTGTGCATTCATATGTGACAGGGTGTGTTCATGTGTACGCATGTGCCAATCTCTTTCCTTAGGTGCTGTTCACCTTATTCTATGGCACAGGGCCTCTCACTGGCCTGGAACCTGTCAGTGTGTCTGGGCTGGCCAGCCAGGGAGCCCGGAGATCCCCCTCAGCCACTCCTCTACAGAGCAACTTTATGGACACACCTTCAAAATGCTTCCAAGGAATTCTAAAGCCAGCCAAGTTGACAATGACATCAGTCGTAATAGAACTAAGGGCGGGGCGGGGGGGGTAGGTGGAAGAGAGGATATTGCTGGGATGTGGTTAGGAGCCTGTGTTTCGTAAACAGTCTTGTAGACACGTGATGGGGACATTTCTTCATTCAAAAAGAACTGAAGCCCTTTCTCGGCAGAGCTCAGGAACAATCGTGTTCACCAAGAGCAGTGACGCGCACCTGTTATCCAAGCTGGGTGTGTGACAGAGGCAGGAGGATCGCTCGAGTCCAGGAGCTTAAGACCAGCCTGGGTAACACAGTGAGTGAGACCCATCTCACAAACAGAGGAAGAGGCGGGGAGGTGGCTCAATTGGTACCCTGCTTACCATGCAAGCATGAAAACCCGGCTTTTGATTCTACCGTAAATGCCAGGCATGGCAGGGGCATTGTAACCCTAGCCATGGGGGTATTGCTAGGGGGGGGGC